TTGTTCCTGATTTTATAGGGAATGCTTTTAGTTTTCCCCCATTTAGTATGCTGCTGGCTATTAGTTTGTCATATATAGCTTTTATCATATTTAGGTATGGTACTTCTATACCTATTTTCTTCAGGGTTTATACCTGAAAGGAATGTTGGATTTTGTCAAAAGCCTTTTCTGCATCTATTGATAGGATCATATGGTTTTTTAACCTTGCTTCTGTTTATGTGATGTATTACATTTATTGAGTTACTTATGTTGGACCATCCTTGCATCTCTGGGATGAAACCTACTTGATCATAATGTATGATCTTTTTGATAATGTGCTGCATTCTATTTGCTAATATCTTGTTGAGGATTTTTGCATCTATGTTCATTAAGAAGACTGGCCTGTCGCCAGGGATTTAGCTCAGTAGTTCCAGCGCCTGCCTCACAAGCGCAAGGATCTGAGTTCGATCCCCAGTACCAAAAAAAAAAAAAGAAGAAGAAGACTGGCCTGTAGTTTTCTCTTTTAGTTATCCAGTTTGGGGATCAGGGTGATACTGACTTCCATAAATGAGTTTGGGAGCACTCTATCCCTTTCGATTTCTTTGAAGAGCTTGAGGAGTATTGGTGATATAATGTCCTTAAAGGTTTTGTAGAATTCAGCAGTGAATCCATCAGGTCCTGGGCTTTTTTTAGTTGCTAGATTCTTTATTACTGTATCGATTTCATTGCTTGTTAGGGGGTTGTTAAGCATATTTTTGTTTTCCTGGGTTAGTTTTGGTAGTTATAGGTGTCCAGGAATCTGTTTATTTCTTCAAAATTTGCCAATTTTTGGAATATAATTTTTTCAAAGTAGGGCCCGGGACTTAGCTCAGTGGTTCTGCTGCCTGTCTCACAAGCGCAAGGTCCCGAGTTCGATCTCCAGTATCAAAAAAAGAAAAAGATAAAATGAAAATCAAAGTAGTTACTGTCTTCTGGATTTCCACATTGTCTGTTGTGATTTCACCTTTTTCATTTCTAATTGCATTGATGTGAGTCTTTTCTCACTTTCTCGCACTAAGTCTCAATAAGTCTTTCTCTCGGTAAGCTAGGGGCTTATCTATTTTACTTATTCTCTCAAAGAATGATCTCTTTGATTCATTTTTAATAATGTTTTAGTCTCAATTTCATTGATTTCCACTGTCATCTTTAAAATTTTTCACCTTCGTTTCAGTTTGGGGCTGGTTTGCAGTTGTTTCTCGAGTAGCTTAAGATTTCTCATGTTTTCTATTTGAACTAGCTCTGTTTACCTACTGTGAGCATTGATTATGATGAATTTTCCTCTTAGAACTGCTTTCATAGTGTCCCAGATGTTTCAATGAGTTGTACCATCATTGTTATTAACTTCCAGAAATTTGTAAATTTCTTCTTTGATTTTTTTCTGTGACCCATTGGTTGTTTAAGAGTATGTTGTTAATTTTCCAGGAGCATTTGCCTTTTAAGAAATTTCTTTTGTCATTGATTTCTGTTTTCATTGGACAGTGGTCTGATAGTATGCATGAGGTCATTTCTATTCTTGTATATTTACTTAAGCGGACTTTGTGGACTAGTGTGTGAAGCTGGAAACTACCAGACACTTTTATTCCTCAACAGGTTACAAGAGAACTCCTCAAACATATGACTAGTGTCTCTATCCAATTAAAATATTCTAACTCAGACTAAGTGTATGGTGTATGTCTATAATCCTAGCACTTGGGAGGCAGAGGCAGGAGGACTACCATGAGTTTAAGGCCAGGATGGGCTATGTAGTGAGTTCAAAGCCAGTCTGAACTACATAGCCAGACTTGCTCAACACCCCCATGAAAATAAAATAAATTCTCTTTACTCAAACTCTTTTTGTATTTTTTTTGAAGTTGACAAATTTAAATCTTTATTCTTCTCTATAACATCCTTCATTTTAATATGAAGATATGAATTGCCAAATAGAGATTGTATATATTCAGTGCATTCAATGTGTTTAACAATCTTTTTTTTTTTTTTTTTTTTTTTTTGGTACCGGAGATCGAACTCGGGTCCTTGTGCTTGCACAGCAGGTGGCGAAACCACTGAGCTAAATCTCTGGCCCTATGTTTAACATTCTTAATTTTTAACGCTATTTCCTTTTTAAAATGAAAGTAGTGCAATAATGCCTATTTTACTTTTTGTATTTTTAGCTACTTCCTGAAAATTTTGCAGGTGATTTTATAATAGGAAAAAGAATAAAGTTCTCTTCAGTGCTTTCACTGTGATAACCACTTTCTACAAAATTAATTTAAAAGAGAAAGAAAAAGCTATGTTTTTCAGAAATGTGCAGCAGAAAGCTACAGTAAAAGGCAAAATTGATAGTGTCAATCCAAATACAAGTGAGAACTTTTCAATCACACTTTAATTTCCTTCTAAAGTCAGTAGAAGGACATATTTTAGTAATATAAGCTTAAATTAAAATAAATTTAATTGCCTTTATTCTTTTTCTTCACTATCTCAGTTGCAAACATTTCTTTTAGTTTCTGGCATAAAGGCTCTTTATCTATTTCAGCATCAAAATATTTCCTGGTGCTGAAAACCACTGTTCCAACAAAGGTCAGTTGTCCAAGAACCCTATAATTCCTTTTTTTTTTGTACCGGGGATCGAACTCGGGTCCTTGCACTTGCGCATCAGGCCTATAATTCCCTTTTGTATGTGATCTCTTAAGCTCTGATTATCCATTCTTATCTTGGTTTTCAGCAGCACCATGTTGACCAATATCTTTATGAGCCATTTCATGTGAAAATTCTTCAGCTATGGTATCATTCATATGACTCAGCAAGAAAGTATCTGAAATATCTAGTAATATGATGAAATCAAATGCAGAAGAGGGAAGAGGTACTTCTTTTGAAGCCGTAGAATCCACAATCAATGTGGATATTTGTGTTTTCTTTGCCTCCATTTCTATGAGGTTTCTATTGCAGCTGATGAGAGCTTCCTCTGGAAGCTGGGCTTGGTTTAATGTCATTGGAAAACCATCAAGGAGCCACCCTTGATTCACAGGCATCTCATTAAGAGCATTTACTATGATGTTAACTAATAATGTGTCTGGAATGTTTTTTCCTTTCTTCAGCAATTATTGTGATTTTGCACCAAGCTGAGCACCGTACAGTGAGTTCAGAGAAAGGATCACTATCACTTGATATGACTTCTTCAGTTTTGGGTGTTCTATTAGTATGTGTACTAGATGTAGTTTCACCTTCTGTTTCTGATACTGGTTCACCTGAAACTGGAGCATCTAAAGATACATTGCGAGTCCTGGCTTTCTTTACTGTCATCCTCCAGATCTGATGGAGCCTCTCCACCTTCTTTCTGAATTGGCAGGTCCTCACTAACTTTTTCATTGTCAGAAAATGATTGGATAGCTTCTTGGACAAGAGGGCCCATACAAAGTACCTGAATAGGAAACTGTCTCTGTAGAGTCTTTAAAGTGATAGTTTTCCCACAAAGTGTTTTCCCCAGTAAGCATCCTTTAATAGCAAGTGAAGGCAGTTCAGGCTCTGTTGGCTCAACTTGAGGAGGAGGAGAAAGAGATTTTTCAGAGAGTCTGTGAAGTGCAAGGCCCTACTGAGAGGGTGGTAAATTATCCGTCATTTCTTCTGGTACAGCCCACTCTTTAACCATGTTCTTATCTTCTTCCTAATCTTTGTTATCTAGCAAGTCTCTTTCCTACAGTTATCTAAGTTGTTCTTCAGAGGGATTAGCAGGCATATGGTTAATAGAAGCTCGTTCATATATGGGCTTTCCATGAGAAAACAATTCCTTCCAATCATGCATCAGATTAGGTGGAATCAGATTATTTGTCAACATTCAATAGCCTGCTATTTTAGTGGACAAATCAAATATTTGATCCAAAATGTCTCCATATATTTTATAATGCTTTCTATAACGAGCCTGAACTCTTTCAACAGTAATCTGTTGTGAACTTCTTTCTCTCTGAGGATTATGTTCTTCAAAATCAATCTTGGCTTGTTTTGCCAAAGCTGCTTCTCAATCAAGAGCATCCTGGAATCTTTAAGTCATCTTTCCTCATACAGTTTTGCTCTGAAAATTCTGTTTTGCCATAAAACCTCCTTTTCATGCCGAACATGCATGAGCTGCACAGCAGTCCTGGGCTCCTGTTGGTACTGTGGCATGAGACGCGTATCAGCTGCTCCTCACAGTAAGCCTCCTCCTGTGCTTCGTGGGCAGTGAACTGGTCCATTAACAATCTTTTCTCCCTTTGCTCTCATGCAAAAGCATCTTCTTCTAGGCACTTCTGGATCTTTTTTAACGTAATCATCATCTGAGTAATGTTTAAAGAGTCACTAGTTGTATGGTCTGTTATATATAAACCAGTCTCACGATCCTTTTTTCCCAATCCTTCCAACTTCATGATCTCATCAGAGGTGACATCCACTGCCTCCTATTGTTTTTTCATCATTTGGGGGGCCTCAAGTGCTTTCAGAGTATGATTGAATGCAGGCCTAGGAATCTGTATGATAGCTGCTTGGATTTTGGCCATGATTTCATTTTGTCATCTCCTGTTGAAACATTTCTCTCAGGAAGCCTCATGTTCCGTGTTTTGAAATTGTAAGTTTGCCAGAGTCTGTATGGTTGGTACTTGTACCCTGGTCGGGTCACTTTTCTTCTTTCTCTGAAGAGCAATGTACACTTGATACAGGAGGGTTTTTTTGCTGCTCCAGGCTTTTCTGTGATAATGCTTAGGGCCATATTCTTATCAAACTGCACCCCCAGAAGGTGAAGTATTGGCTCCAAGTGGGAAAGATTATCAAGAATGGCTTTGGAAATCCTGCCCTCTGAAAGCAAAGCACCGCACCTGATATCAATCCTCTGGCATGAGCTGAAGCTGCAGTTCTTCAATTGATACTAATCAAGTGGGAGAGTAAGAGAGTGAGAATGGGAATGTAGCTCATTGGAGAGGGTAAGAGCCAGATCTGGGCTGTAGCCGAGTGGAGCTTTTACCTGCCTGGTAAATACAAGGGCTTGAGTTGAGTTCTCTCCTCTTTCCTCTCTTTCTGTGATCTCAGCACTCAGGAGGCTAAGGCAGGAGAATCACCTCGAGCTCGAGGCCAGCCTGCACTACATAGCAAAACCCTGTCTCAAGAAAAGAGGAAAAAAGAGGACCTCATGCATTGTTAGAAGTAAGCTCTTTTATTCATAGTCAACTGATTGTAGATGTTAGCCCTGTACAAAATGCCTTCATAGCAACACTAAGATTACTGATAAACAGGTACTAAGGCCTAGCTATGTTGACACAAAACTAACCACCACAAGGGCTGGGGATTTAGTTCAGTGGTTTTGCTGCCTGACTTGAAAATGCAAGGACCCAAGTTCGATCCCCAGTGCCCCCGCCCCCCAAAAAAACCACCACACACAAAAACCTGCATTTCATCCCCTGTGCAACCCTGGGAAAACCAGAAAACCTTCTGGCTCAATTCCTTTTCAGGAGCAGCCACAGAGACACCATTATTTCAACTCACCCAGGTAGCATCACTGAAAAATGAATAAGGAGTTTCATGAAACAACCGTGGTTCTGCAGGTAAAGAATGTTCCCTTAAATAGAAATAATGTCTGTGATTATGATAGGAGAATTTCTTTCTACATCATCCCATAATTATCTGAAAATAGAATTGACTAATCTTAGGCTGAATCTTTTAAGACTACAGGCTATGAGCTTTTCAAATAAACCAGTGCAAATCATCTAGTCCGTCCTCATTGTTTACAGGCAAGGAACCTGAGACAAATAGAAATTAACCAACTTGTCTTACCACAAATCTATGCAGACCCAAAAATAAAACCCAGGTGTCCTCAGCCCTATGGTGCAATTCATAACACCAAGTCACCTTTGTGGACAAAAAGATAATGATTAGTAATTAAAGAATGGGTTTTTCAGAATCATGTTCAGAGTTCCATTTGCCCATGAAATGATGTGATGCTTATTTTTTATTATTGTTTTGTTTTGTTTTAAGACAGGGTTTCACTATGTAGCTCAGACTGGCCTCAATTGCAATTCTCCTACCTCAGCCTCCCAAAAGCAGGGATTACAGGTGTGCACAATCACACCTAGCTATGAAGTTTATTTGTAAAGCAGATATTAGATAGTATTAGAAAGTACTTGTTAATTTTTCCAAGTGTGATAAAGGCATCAGGGTTATATAGACAAATTGTATTTTAGGGATACATATATACTGCATGTATTTTCTTCAAAATACTTCAGCAAAAACATATGAAGCACGTATGTTAATAATTGTTCGTGTAAGTGACAAATATGGGTATTATCATATTATTGTCCCAACTCTTTTTTGGGGGGTGTTGTTAGAGATTGAACCCCAGAGCCTTATGCATCTAAGCACATACTCTACCACTGAACTATACCCCAGCCCCCATACTCTCTGTTTTGTTTTTCAGAATAAAAAAGTAAAGCACAAGAAAGAAGCTCATTTTCTTCCTGGTCCTAGGATTGTCAGACAGCATGTCTCCGGGCACATACCCATTCAGGCGCTGGTCTCAGGTAGGAAATCTCTCAGACTGACCCTATCGTAGCATTTCCATTCCTCCTGATACCATTTTCAAGAAAGAGAATCATCACAACATGTTAATATCTCTTAGAAAGGCATAAAACCTTTCCTGGTTAGGTCACCAAATGACAGTAACAGTAAGTTGATGATGAGATAGAGATGCAAATGCTTACAGTGGTCTCAGTATTTTCATTCAGACTGGAAATATAATATACAGTGAAGCTTTTATCATTTTAAGTACTTTATATGTGGAAAGATTTGACGGAACAGACCATGCTACTTATACAGTGTGTTAGTCAAACCCTCATCATTAATTAATTAAGCATCCACTGTGTGCCTATGCTAAAAACTAAAGTGACTGACATGAGAAAACCCAGGCCTTGGATTCTGAAGTACTCAGATAAGCTATCTAAGGGTTCAAATGAACCAAAAATGAATTTCTACTTCTTTGACTCTGTGTTCCAGAGTCACACATCTTGCAATCACATTCCAGGGACAGCTAGGAAAGGCGCAGTAAACTGTATTAACTATATTTAAATTATATAATCTAATGAACAGAAATTGCACTGTCTGCTACAGTAAAATTGGAAGCACTCCATTTTTTTGTGATTATCATTTGCTTGACCTTCGAAAAACACTTTTTAAGCCCAGGTGAGAACATTGCGCTATTTTGTTAAGGGTTTATGGTGGGAAGGAGATGTTCAAACTCAAATTCACTTTTTTCTCTTTGATGGTTAACAGTTAAAGCTCAAGATGACTAACAAGAAAGCATTCTTCAGCTCTTCAAAATAGAATTGTTAACTAATATTCCAAATATAGATATGCAAATTACCATCCATATATTCCAGTTAAGTTAGCCCTGCCACTCACCAAATGTGTGATTTAGACTAATCATTTAACCTCTCTGAGCCTGTTTTTTATCCAAATAAGAGAGCAAAATGCAGTTATAAATGTTTTAAAACATTTTAAATCAATGCTGTTACTTAAACACAGTTTAAATGAATGTTTTCAATAGTATTTCACCTATTCCTTTTTTATTTTTCTTTATTTTTTTTTTCTTTTTCTTTTTTTTTTTGGTACCAGAGATCAAACTCGGGTCCTTGTGCTTGCGAGACAGGCGGCAGAACCACTGAGCTAAATCCCCAGCCCTCCTTTTTTATTTTTACATGTATTTTTATATGCATGACACTTTATTTTTAAGCTTAATATTAGCATTTCTGAGGACCTATATGGTAGTAGAAAAGTAGTGAGGTAGACAAAATTCATATAACAAAGGTCACACCATAAGCCTATCACATGTAGGCTCTGACATCTACACATCTGTGCATGTTGGAGGTAGAGGAGGTTTGTATCTATGGTTTATATTGAGATGTCCCTAAAGCCTCATGCACTCATAGGTAGGGCTTTGGGGAGGTCACTGGATCATGGGTGTGTGATATTGGATTAGTCCACCAATGAGTTTAGAGCTAAGTTCAAGGTTTGGGGGTGAAGCCTGGTCAGAGGACATGGGTCACTGGGAGTGTGGCCTGGAAGGGCTTATTCCCCACACCCAGCCCCACCTCGATCCCTCTCTCTGCTTTACTAGTTGCCATAAGCAAACCTTCTCTGCCACACCCCTCTGCTGTGCTGCCCTGCCTCAGTGCCAGCCAACTATGGACTGAAACCTCTACAAACTGTGAGCCAAAATAAACCCTTCCTAGAGTTGTCTGTGTCAGATACTGTGTCTCAGTGACAGGAAAGTAACTAAGACAGGAGGAGAGACAGCTTTCTACAGGCCTGGAGCTTGAGAAACCCAGGGATATCTGGGAAAGAATAAATTCCCAGAAGGAGGATCTTGCCATATGATGCAAAGACAAAGGGCCAGGCCCCATGCCTATAGTCTCAACACTCAAGGCTGAGGCAGGAGGATCTCTGTGAGCTGGAGGCCAGCCTGGGTTACACAGTGAATTCAAGGCCAGCGCGAATTACACAGTGAGACCCTGTCTCAAAAGAAAAAAGACAAAGGGCTTGGTTGAGGAGAGAGATAATCTTGAGCATACCAAGAAGTCTGGTATGGCCTCACTCCCCAAAACCAGTCTCTTTAGCCTTCTTCTCTTCTGAGCAAAAGTGCTGCAATAGAACCAGCCAAGAGCTAAATGATGTTTCATTTTTTATGTTATGCAATCCATGAAAAGAACATGAGTACCCCAGATACACCAATATCAACAACTCTATAGCCAACATCAGGAACTTGTTGGCAATTGGAGAAGGGCCAGGAATGTGCACCAAGGGTGACATCAGGGGATTTGCACAGCCAGGCTATACACAGGCTATAGTGCCCAGCATGGGGCTTTGGCATGTGACCTGTTGTCAGAGTGCACCAGAGGAAAGGAGAGATGTTCCAGGATGGCCACAGGACCGCCAGTTAAGTCTAGTGGCAGAATAATAGCCAGTCCCCACATAGAAACCACTGTGACTGTTACAATGCATTACTTACTAACTTTCTGGAAAAGCTGAGCTGTTTTTCAGACCCTAGACTTGTCCTTCTGCTCATCTTCACATTCTGTGGTTCCAACTCCATTCTTCCAAAGCGCCTTTCCCACTCAGAGAAGCCATACTGGCCCGACGTGGACATTACCTTCCCACTGGCCACGCCTGGGAAGCTTGGGGCCTTCCCAGTTGTGTTCGAATGTCAGGGTTATGGGGCTGGTGTCTTTTACCCTGATGTGAATATCCTGCAGGTTTCTGAATCAGGCCCCAACCTTGTGAATCCACTTGAAGAGGGAGGTCACTTGGGATCTGTCCTTTGAGTGAGTTGTGGGAGTTTGGATGGGAAATTAGAGCTCCAGTTAGAATCCACAAAGACAGAGCAAGGCTCAACCTCCTTCTCAGTTTAGGTGCCAAGGGCTTTTTTTTTTTTTTTAAGCAACACTAGGGATTGAACCCAGGACCATCACACTGAACTACATCCCCAACTCTTTTTTATTTTGAGACTAAGTCTCACTAAGTCACTAAGTTGCCCAGGCTGGTCTTAAACTCAATGATCTTCGTGTGTCAGGCTCCCAGAGTGCTGGGATTACAGGTATGTGCCACACACCCAGCTGCCAAGGGCTTTAAATAGCACTAAGTGCCTGCTTGGATAATGGAGGCCAAAGTGGTATCCATAAAGGCAGGGAGGATAAGCTTCAAAAGTTTCCTTCTCCTGGGTTCCCAGAATGAGGTGGGTGTCTAACAACAGGGTGTGAGCTGTATCTCAGAACCGGGATTATCCATAAACTGTCCGTTCATCTCCCTTTTTACCACATCCTTTGCTGTTTAGTCCTGAGTAAAGTCTCCACTCAGTGGTCCAGATGGATCTCTGCTGTGGCACAGGGAAACAAGAGGACTCCTTCCTTGGGCCCCTGGAGGTGAAGAACCTAAACTGTATTTAAATTATGACATTATTCATCCTTTTGGCACTTTACATTGTGAAAAAATATAAGTTATCTTTTCAGAAGATCTGAATTTTAGCAGTATTGCTAACTGCAACATAGATTTCTGTCCACTGTGAGAGGAAGTTTCAAGGACATTTCAAACATTCAAAAATCTTATATAGAGACATTTCAGGGCAGAAGTAACTAGAAACCCTTCTCTAGTGAAAATGCTGTGACGTCAGGGCTGCTTTCTGACTCAGTACCCTGGCTTCTATTTTGTGGATCTGCTCCTCCCTTTCACTCTCACTCCAATGCCATTATAATACCTTTAATATCTTTTAATATCCTTCCCCCTACATGGAATAAACAGACTAGTCAAAACTCACTTTCTCTACTGAAGGGCTTTCATCTATCTGTGCTGCCACAACAAAATATTCAAGACTGAGGAACTTATACTAATAGATTTTGTTTCTCAGGTCCATCACTGGGGTTCAGCATCTAGCGAAGGCCCAGTCCTCACAGATGGCACTATGTAAGTGTCTGCACCTGGCAGAAGGGACAGAAGAGCTGGTGGAGAACACTGTGTTCTCACTTGGTGGATGAGTGGAAGAAAACAAAGCCACTCCCTCAAGCCCTTTTAAAAGCGCCTGCCAGGAATGGTGGTGCACACTTGTAGTCCCAGCACCTTGAGAAGCTGAGGCAAGAGGATTACAAATTCCAGCCCCACCTGGGCAACTTAGTGACTTAGTGAGACCTGTCTCAAAATAAATAATAAAAAAAGGACTGGGGATATAGCTCAGTGTGAAAGTGCTAGGTTCAATTCCTAGGACACACACACACACAAAAAGACTCTAATCCCATCCATGAGGGCTCTGTCCTCATGACTTAACCACTTCCTATAGGTCTCACGTCTTAATCTGCTCACACTGGCAATGAAGTTTCAATATATGAATCTGGGGGACACATCCAACCCCACGGAGCTTAGCATCCCAGGTTCTCACTCCCTCTTGGAGACTGGAGCCAGTGTTTATCTGATTATTATCCCTGAGGCCATCCAAAGTGGTCTGCGGACACCCTTATTCCTTCCCACTTGTCCAGCAGAAGGATGATTGGGGACTTTGTTTTCATGAAAGTACAGTCCAGGAGAGGGTGACTATCAGAGAACAAGGAAGGATGAAGGTCTGCGTAGGTGAATAGCATTTCATTTATGCCCCATCTCCCTTGCTGCCTCAACCATGGAGGTTTGAAAGCTAAATACTGCTTTCCCAGCCTCACTAGCAATTCAGGATGTCAATATGACCAAGCTCAGACCCAAGGGAATTCTGTTAGGGGAACTTCTAATAAAACATATGGTTTCCTTATTGAATGGGACAGATGGGGCTGCCATAGCCCTTTCCTGAGCCCCGTTCTTACTGCCTTAAATTTGGACATGATGGTTGGATATGCAGCAGCATCTTGAAAAGACTAAGAAATGATATCTACCCTGCCATTGTGAAGCTGCCAAAGCTAAGCTGGCAACTACCAATCTCTGGTCTTCTGATTATGTGAGAAAAATAAAATCCTATTTGTTTAAGTCCTTGGTATTAGAGCTGGGGATGTGATTCAGTAGTAGAGCACTTGCCTAGCATGGTCTCACCACTACAGAAGGAAGGAAGGAAGGAAGGAAGGAAGGAAGGAAGGAAGGAAGGAAGGAAGGAGATGCAAATCCCTGGAATTGGCATTTTTGACACTTCTAACTAAATATAACCCTTACTGTGTTAGCTCAGCGATGGGAACCAGCATATTCTGGAGTAAGAAGAGCATTCATTGTCTTTGGTTTATCTGGCCAAAATTATGTAGACAAAAAGTTGAGTCACACAATTAAAATGGTTTCAGATGTTCATAACCAACCAAATCAAATTTCTTATGCCTGGTAATCTAGACCAAAGTGAC